GATCTCTTTGATTCGTGCACTTACACAGATTATTGATTTTGAACTGTTTCTTTACGCAGTTAACACACTCAATCATACTGTCATTGAGAAAGTCAATCCATAATTTCTCTATCCACCTCCTGTTCTCAACACTGTGCACTTCAGTGTTTCATTGTTCAAATATGTTTTATCTCTCGCTTTGTTCTTCAGTATTATCACCACCGGTTCGAAGAGCAGATGTAGGTCAAAAACTTAGGCTATTCAAAATTTGAAGGTAAAATGGTATTTACCGTAGACAATGTTGCTGAAGTGATAGACTGAAAGATAGCTTTGCCTGCATTTTAAAATAAGACTTTTCATGTCAAGGATGGTCACAAAAAACGGTTAATTCAGAAATAAGATTTGATCATAACTTTTGATAAACATATTTTGTAGGAAGTAGCTTTATATAGCGTTTTATATTTATAAAGCGTCTCTTTTCTCGTTCACTCGATCAATGCCATCTTTATTTGGTCATTTATCTTCGCGATACTGAATTAGATGTCTTTCTTCTGGGCAGACGTTCCTTCTCTGCCACGGCGGGTCGTTGCATCATAGCCTCACCAGCTAAGTCAATTTAAAGTAGCATAAATGACATTGTTTTATTATGTTTCATCTCATGTGATTGCGAATGGTGGTTGCCAATTATGCCAACATCCGAATTTACAGCAGTAAGGTCCGGCCTGTCAGTCCCTAATGTAGATACGGATCAATAACAGTTCATTGTAGCGCTCTCGGAAATGACAAGCGTCTGACTCGTGTCGAAAGGACCAGGAGTCCCAACCGGGCGATGAGTATCAATAAGTTCCAAAGAAAGAGGATAATTAAGCTCTCTTGTCTCTGTTCTGCATTCTCCTCAAACGGTACTACAATCCTGACTGAGAGCACCGAAACAGAGGTCAGCGTTGAACTATGAACTCCATGAAGGAAGCGTGCTATAAAGCGTTCTTAAAGGCATGGCCTGAAGAGAACAGATCGTGCAAATTTTTCCTTGGCTTAATATAACACAATTAATTAGTTGCATATTTTGAATGACATTGACATGAGGCTGAATTTATGGAAGGTTTACGTTAAGTATATAAATTTTTGTAACAGGTCCTTTAATTGATTTTAAGAACATGTCACAGACCCAAGGTGCATCAACAGTGGAACAATGGAAAATCCATCTGAAACACTTGCTCCTTCTGAAACACTTATTGCCCAAATCATGTAAACTGACCATGGAACAGCTTATGATGTTTATACAGTGGCATATTATGGATACCAGCTTCTGAAAAGTTCGGGATAATCGTCCCTAGCTCTAGAGAACAAAATTATGTACGATGTACGCTGGTGATGCTCCAACGGCATGGCTTCGTGACCTGCTTAAATGGCCACATAAGCAACTACGAGTAAACGGCGGTGCAAAACGCAGTTAAATCTGGTCTTTGAGCAGTCATTCGTTGTTTCACATATTGGGGCTTTCAAACAGCTTATGATGATATTGTGCATTGAAAATTTTCCTGTCAATTTTCCCTTATACCTCTTTCAGAAGGTGGAAACGGTAGCCACCAACGAGTAGGTAGACCCGAGGGGCGGCCGTAGACCGCCGGGGCTGTTAATGTGAGTGATGTTGAATTGTCTGCTTCTGCCAGGACTGGGTAGCCAAAGTTTGCACGTTAGTCGATGCTGCGTAGTCGTGTCGTCCAGCTTCATGATCCTCTCGTACACTTCGTAAATCACCTACTACAGTTGGAAGCCACGTGATTTCCATGGCTATGATCGCTGCTCAGCTGCAAGATTAAGAGCGATTTATAATCGGTTAAGACATCAGATAAAAAGCTATGCCGGAAGCAAAAAGCGATTCAAATACCAAGACAAATGCGCAGTTGAGGTTGCTGATCACGGAGAACGAAAGTTTGGTGGTAGCCTGCGTTTGGAGGCCGGCTTGGAGCCAGCTCGAAGGTCGACCATTCGGCTGGCGTCGATGGCGGCGAGTGCCGCCGATTCTCTGAGGACGAGGCATCGACAGTCGGCAGTCGTCGGTCGTCGGTCGTCAGGAGCTAAACGTAAACAAACGCGATTCATTTTTCTCTCTTATTCAACGCAACGCGTCGCAGACGTGGCTATGCTTAGAAAGGGAGAAGATGAATCGGTGTTCGAACGCGTGCTGCGCCTGAAAGCGATGAGGGCAAATTGAGACGCTTGCATTGTTGCACGCCGGCCCCTGCAGACCGTGTCTCCGTATAATTTGCTAAGTAGATGAGGCTACCGTTTGTTTGTTTTGCACGAGTCGCTGCGCATTGTTCCAGCCGCCGCTCACCCGCAAGAATTCGCCATTAATAATTCTAGCTCATCATCATAATGCTTAAACGTCGTATACGGTAGCCTTGTAAGGAAGGCCGAGGGCATGAGGGTTGGTCATCGAAAGCTTCAGGTCAAATTCTCTATTAGATCAGTGTTCTTGGCAAAGAAGAAATTTCGCGACTTCTGCTAACTTACGTGTGTTGTGTACTTGGCATCGCCAAGTGACCATTGGTCACTTGGGTCAAAGAGACGTTTGAACTAAAATTCAAGCATGTCTTAACTGTCGTCGTCGAAAGCGACGGTTTCGTGTGAAGCAGAAAAATAGTTCCGAACGGACGAACAGCAGCCGGTCATGCTCAGCAGCTGAA